CCATGTCCCTTGGGAACAGAAAACTAAAGTGACTTGAAGAAAGCAAGGTCCCTGGCAGTGGCGTTGACTCTGCTGCGAATGCAGAAAGCACCATTCTCCTCACCGAGGGGAGCAGGGAGCGCTTTATTCCACTTGTGGTGTGCTTTCCTTGTCCCCTCACTGCTGATCCAGGTTTTATACCCATGTTCCCATCAAGAAAGAGAAAGTTGTGGCACTGGTGACACTTGCTCCTTTCATTAAAAAGGGGGAAATTCTCGCGAGCACGCCAGCAGGGAAGGCTGCGTGCACTGCTGCCCAGGCACTCTGTGGCCGTCTTGGACGGTGCACTGTGTGCAGATCCCGTGTGCCTTGGGACAACTGGCTTCATCTTGGCTTTCCAATACCAAGAGTGCCTCCCAGACACCGAGACCAGTGAAAATGCCCCACTGCCCTTAAGCTTTGGGGGAAAGGGTTGCCACTGCCACGTGAGAGGCACTGTACCATTAGTGGTTTATTACCTGGGGTGGGTAAGTTGCTGCCTCAAACCTAGTTAGGATGCTGGTAGGAATGAAAAAGGAGAAATGACTGCTGTTCCGCCCACTTTGCTTTCATTCTTTGTCCTTAAATGAAGTAGTGAGAAGACAGATCTGGGTAAAACTTGTGTGTGGTGGGGTGGTAGTGGTGGGAGGTGTGGAGGCCGGGAGAGGGGTGAGGAAGGAAGGGGACAGAAATAAACCCAGTGGGGACAAGAGCGGGCGAGCCAGCCGGATGCCACACTGCATTTGGGATTGCTGCGCTTGGCCCAGAACAGCTTGAAAACTGAGGTGCAGAACCAGCAGGAAAGAGGTGGTGACTGGGGTGTGCCTCGCGGCTGCCTCCACAGACAACCAGTTCCATCTTCTTCCACTCGCCTTCCCCTCCCACCCCTTCTCGTCTCCAAAACAGAAGGAAACTGACCTAAAGGCAGTCGTACCGCAGACCACTGTACGGCTGTCACGGCACTGACCGTCCTCAGTCACCTACTCATGTACTCTGATCTCGGGCAGGCTGAGCTCTGTAGAAGACCTTAGCTTTCATTTGTCAGGGTCTGTTACCTAATGGAAATAAAGCTAGTGATTCTTGAATGAGTAGACAGGGAAAGGAGAGAAGAGAAACAGACTGCTTGGTTTTTCTGTGTGTGTGTGCCGGGGATGAAACTCATGATCTTGCGTGTTTGCCAAACAGGCACTTTACGCCGGTGAGCTAAATCCCTGGTCCCCAGACTACTTGTTTTAACTCATGATGTCTGATTTTCTCATTCCAGGCAGCTTCTCTCACACTAGTTGGAATGTTTTTGGTTTCTTTTAAGTTAATAGACTCCAAATTTATGACCATTAGGTGCTCTTGCATGGCTTCCCCGCCTCCAGCCCGGTGCAGCCTGTCCTGGCTCCTGCTCCGTGCTGCTTGCTGGTCTTTGACCCCTTCCAGTTCCCCTTTGCATGCTAGGATGTGCCCTTGTCCTAAAGCTTCCCAGGGAGTTTTATACCCAGCACCCCAGGTCTCCATGTAAGTTCTGTCTATTTGAGTTTAACTCTGTCTTTTTGGTTCCATGGAAAACTCAGGATGCTGCAATGAATTTTAATCAGTCTGATTCCTGTATTAAAGGAACTTAACTAGAAAGAGGAGTTCTTTTGTTATGTTTTAATACTGAGTCTGCGTGGGTCTTGGCATTGTTAGTCTAAATGGAACAAGTTCATTGAGATCTTAGTGGATTCCTTCCTAATGCTGATAAAATCAACCTCCTGCAACCTTCTGAGGATACAACTTTAAGAAACAGTTTTCTCCAACATCTCAAGGTTATAAATCAGGAGTTGTTAAGCTTAAACAGGCCTTAAAGTATTATAGAAAAGCTCTTTCCCATAAACTGGGGTCAACTGGAATTCAGAATAATCATGTATGCACATGCAACTGGTGTGTATATATTAACATTCTATCATGTACTGTATTCTAATTTCAGAAAACACTAAAAAAAAAAAAAAAGCTTAAGGCACTCTCCTTTTGGCAGTATTAAGGATTGAATTCAGGCCTTTAACACTGAGATACATCCGTGTCCCCTTCTATTATTGAGACAGGGTCTCACTAGGTTCCCCAGGCTGGTTGAGATTCGAGATCTGCCTCAGCCTCCTGGAATGCTGAGTTTAGAGGTGTGTGCCACCACACCTAGCTTCAGTTTTTAAAAACTATTAAGCATATCTATTCAAGTTTATATGACACATTTGTATATAGAAAAAAACCCTTGTATCATATGTTTTAAATTGCCAATTTAATTTTATTCAGTTTTATAACTAAGTTGGATATGTTTTCAAAGCTTTCCCAAATATCTCTAACTGGGTGCTAACACATCTATGCGACTTACAGCCTAGAGCACTTTTAGGTATGTTACAGTGCTTTCTTTAGGCGCCACAGAAGCTGAGGTAACAGGTGGAATCCCTCCTTCATAGATGAGGCTGAAGCTCCCAAGAGCTGCCTGTGATGCAGCGATTCCGCACAGCACGGAAGCCCAGGTCCTCTCCTGCATATGTCATTGCACAGAAGTTGCAGGGAACAAAGTGGTGTCCTAAGTGCCCTGATGAGTTGTTAATGAACACAGTCACATATGCTTTGCTTTCCCATAATGGTCGTTATTTAATAAGGGGCTTCTATAGAGGAAAATAGTAAGTCTTTAATTTTTATTTATTTTGTTCCTTTGAGGCAGGGCCTTGCTATGTAGTTTGGGCTGGCCTTGAACTCACTCTATAGCCCAGGCTGGTCTCAAACTTGCAACAATCCTCCTGCCTCAGCCTCCCAAGTGCTGGGGTTACAGGAATGCACCACCATGCCTGGCCCTGTCTTTAATTTTTAACCATTAAAATTTTTAAATAATTCTGTAGGTATAATCTTGGTTAGTGTCTTAGTTTCAGGTGTGACAGGGCTGTGAGGAAACACTTTCAAAAGGGCAAAAGGACCTTCCCAGTCACCCAAATGATGTCAGACAAACCCTGTGTCACGTGGGTCCTGTGCAGACAGCCCGAGGCAGTGATGGCAAACCCCTTAGAGCATTCAGTAGCCCACCAGCCTGCTACCGCCCAGGTGCGGCAGGTTGGCCACCACTGTTCAAAGGGAAATACAGGCAGGGGTGCCGAGATTGGCGTGGTGTGTCAGTATAGTCAGCCCGCCTAGGCCATGTGGGGCTGGAGGCCAGAGGTGGGCTCTTCAGCTTTCAGCTCCTCTGTGCTCCGGCCCCTTGGCTGGGAGCAGCCTGCTGCCTCTTATTAGTGCTGGCTGCCAAGTGGGGCATGAGGCCCCTGGAGGTCTCAGCCCACTCAGGCAAGGCTGGCTTTGTGGGCCTGGACCTGGGGGAGAGGGTGGCGTTTTCCCAGTGTTCCTACCCGCTATCTGCTTAGCAGCAGCCCGTGCTCTCTGGTCAGCGTCTGCCCTGTCCTGCCTCCTCCTCTATTGATGTGAGGCTGGTAGGAGTGCTTAGGAGTGAAGGTGGACCTCCCCAAGTCCTGGGCTGTCCTGGACTGACGTTCTAGCCACCTCTGGCCTTTGTCAGTACATCAGGGTGTCAGCCATTAGGGTGTCAGGACACCTCGTGTCCTGCCAGCAGCCTTGTGTCTTCCTTTCCTTTAGAGCTGGCTCCCCTTGGGAAATCAGTTATTTATGATTGATTACATTATGTCCTCAGCTCTCTGTACGCATTAGGATTTTGTGATTAATCTATCGTTTTATTATAATGAAAATTTTTGTAGCTTTCTGTATCATAAGCATAAAAGTAACTCCTATACTTTTAACACTTTTCTCCTCCTAAGTCTTTAGAAATTTTAAACCTAGTATTTGCGTATCCATGTTATCTCCCCTGATGAATGTAATTATATGAGGTCCCATTAGTGATGCCTTACGTTCAGCTGTGTGGGTTGGTAGTTAAAAAGTGGGAAGTCCTGAAGAGACAGCTATTGTCCTAAACAAGGTAACGAAGTGTGCACATAGCTTTTCTATTTTTTTGAAACTTTTCTGTATACTTGGGCATTTGGTGTTTGTATCCCGAATGAAACACCCTAATTGAACAGAATTTACAAGAAACTAGCAGCCAAAGTGGAGTAAGAACTGCAGGACTTTGTTCTTTAGGGAGACGCTGAACCCATTCTTGTAAAGCCAAGTCGACTTTTCCTGCAGGTTTCAGGTATCAGAGAATCCTTTCCCTAGGAGAAACCCCTCAGTAAGCAGATGTGAAAGCTTTGTGGGTTGCCCAGGTGTGTGGGCAATAAACAGTTTTACAATGCCTCCCCAGCTGTTTGTGACCTTCGAGGCTGTAGGGGTTTCCCTTGGACTTGGGGGCTCAGAGCTTTCACTTTTCTCTTCCTGTCTGGGTCAGTGTGAGTCTGGCTGCATGATCACACATGCCAGCAGATGCTGTCACTTGTAGGTTAGATAGTGACACCTCCTAATGAAAAAAACAACAACAAAACAAAAACCCTGTACTGCTCCTGATTACCAATCCATTATTAAACTTTGTGCACTAATTTTCTTAAATTAAGGAGCGCCTTTATTCATGAATGTATCTGTCATTACTAAGCTGTGAAAGCAGCTGAAGGGTTCATTTATTGCCCAAATTGGTCCTTTTTTTTTTTTTTTTTTCCTATCCTGCCTATATACGCTTAAGAGCTTTTTTCATGGAGGTTTTCAGCTTCCTTTTAGAACAGAATTCCTTGTTTTTAGGAATAAAATTGTGGTCTTTCTCTTGCTGGCAGCCAGCTGAGGGTAGTATGGATTATAATTTTTTTTCAATATGATACTTAGGTAACTTATTTCTAAAGAAAGAAACTGAAGATCTTAGTTGATAAGAACAAGAAACTTCCATTATCCACACAAAAACACTGATATTGGGAAATAAAGCAGAAATTTGTATATGCTGGTATTCAAATGCTCAAACTATCAGTGCTTTCTGTAAAATTCTTTGAGGATTATGTGCCGATTAACCACCCATTTGCTATAATTTTTAGTAGAGAAATGGTCAGAAGGAATGACATTGAGCAAGAAACTAGAACGTTTAAAAGAATCCGAAGGAACAGCGGAGGTCTTCCAAGAACCTACACGGATGGAAAAATGCACAAACACAGAGGAGGACAATATTTCAGGTCCACAATTCATCAACAAAACCACCCAGTTTCCGACAGAAAGTGCTGAGTGCCTGCAGCCTGAGCCGGCTGAAGCAGTCCCCGGAAACAGCCCTTCTTCCAAACCAGCCACGCCTAAGGCCGCCACCCCACCCACGTCACCATCTCCAGCGCCTGTCTCGGCAGAGTTTGCCTATGTCCCCGCCGACCCGGCTCAGTTTGCCACTCAGATGCTAGGTAAAGTTGCATCCACTCATTCTCATGAATCTGATGTGTTAATGGTGGACACAGCAACCAGTATGCCTGTTTGTATCAAGGAGGTGCAAAGCAGAGAGGTTGCTGAAGAAGTGGTAGTGGCCGCTCCTCTGGCGTGGCCCGGAGAGGTGCTGGTTGTAAGCCAGGCAGCTATGCAGGTAGATGTGGGTCCTAAACCTAAAGACCACGAGGCTGAACCATCAGCGGCTTCCTCAGTCCCCTTGCAGGATGAACAACACCCTCCTAATTACGATCGAGCCCCTTTGAAGGCTGACACTCAGGTCACATCAGCCCTTCATATATCATCTATATATAATGGTGCCCCTGTCACTGAAGGAGTTGTAGTCATCCCTGTTTTTGAAGAGCAGCAGTCACCACAAGGTAGTCCCAAACTTGTAGTGCATGAGATACCCTCAGGCATGTGCAAAAAACCCACAGAGCCGGTAAAGTCAGAGACTGGGAGTTACAAATCCGTAGTCCAGGTGGAGGTAGAGGCAGTGGTGCTGCTCCCTGATGCCCGTAGTGAAGGTCAGCTGGAGGGACCTGGAAACCCCCTGCAGGAGGAGGACCCTATCGAAACAGGCCCTGAAGAGTCTGTGGTCATTGAAGTGGAGATCATGTCCACTGACCCTGACCAACCTGGGCAGAAGTCACCCCAGAAGACAGAGGGTGAACTGTAAGGTCATCTGATGGCCCCCTCCCTCCTGTGCCAGGAGGTCTCTCTGAGCCTGAAATCCAACCAGAAGGGAAAGCAGCACCTGAACAGGTTTGATAAGGCCAAGTAAGAAAAATGAGACATACATTTAGACATAGTATTTCAGGTCATTGTCTAGGTAAGGCCCCTGCAGGTGTGTCAAAGTCTTTGTTTTCAGTCATTTTTTAAATGCCAAACCTATTAAAAAGCTTTGTTGTATTTAAGATTTAAATCCTAGGAGTGATTTTAAAGTGACATTCCCACAGTCTGGTCCTCCAGCATCCATCTGGTCCTGCTAGCCTTTTGGACAGTACCATCACAGCCTATTACCAGGTGCAAAACTGCAGTGAGATGCTGTTGGTTTTCCATCTCACTTGTGAACGTGAAGTCTAACCACAACACTGCGTTTACCTGGGCTTGGCATTTAAAACGTGAAAGAAATGGTGGTGTGTTGGACTGCTTTCGTACGGGTCAGGAGAGCTCTGCAGCCAGGTACGGGGGTGGGCTCAGCTGCAGTTCCTGCCGCTAGAGCCCCCTGCTGAGGGAGCAGGGTGGTCAGCCACATTGGCACCGAGGATGCAGTTCCCATGACGGGCTTTCTCCGATCAGTTTCCTCGGCCAGGTGCCCAACCCAAGCTGCTTTCTTGGCTACTGAACTGCTGCCTCTGTTTCCCTGTGACAGACATGATGTGACCTCCACCTGATGGTGGCTCTTGGGTCTGCCCACCCCCTGGGCCCTCTGGCCACCTCAGGGAAGGACAGGAACGTGCATGAGCTGCTCCCCCTGTTTCTGCTGTAGAAACTCTCAACTCTGACTTGAGTCACAATAATCAAGTACAACCAAAGCAGGTGTTTTGCAGAGGAATTCTGTCTGGCAGTGTGTCAGGGATTCAGACAGCTGAAAAGCAGGAGGGCGGTGCAGGGAACAAAGCCCGCGAGGCTGGCAGTATCCATGCAGTGTCGGCAGCCCGTCAGACCAAGTCACTGTTTTCAGGTGCTTAACTTTCTAAAGGAGAACACACACACGTATAACACAGCTGTCCTACAAACACATCAGTGGGAGAGAAATGAAGAGTTGGATGTGCTTTCTGATAAGACCAATTCAGAGATACTGAGGCTGCCTCACGTGCATGATGGTGTTCTTTTCTGGGAAGAGAAAGGCTGCACCAGGGACAGATGGCCCACTGGCCCAAACAGAAACTCCGCCATCAGGGGCCTTCTCCCCTAGGTCCATCTTCCGAGACAAGACTGCCTGTCTGCATGAGGCGGGTCGTGGGCGTACTGGCTTCCTTGGTGAAAAGCAGTGGGTGGCACATCTAGACCTCTCTGTTCATGGAGAACCCCATGGGAACAACCAGCCTTTCACTGCCAGGTAGGACCTATCATTTCAGGCTGTACAAAAAAGCAAGCAGATTCTGGGGCTACGTGATGTTTTATGTGTGGTGGGGGAGATCGATGGCATCTAGTGCCTGACTTCTTTGGGAAAAGAGGAATCACTGCAGATGCATCAGCACTTAGTTCAGGGGCCTGTCACACTCAGTTAAGTTTTTGGGAAAGCCCAAAGCTGTGCTGTTTCCTGAGGATCCTGTGGAGGCCAGGTCTGAAGTTTAAGAACCTGGAAACAGCGACTTGGAATGAGACTGCTTCTTGTGTCCCTGCCATTCACTAGCACAACACTGTCATCCTCTCCCTACTGTCCAGAATCCCTTTCACATTACCAGACATGAGTTACTTAGCTCTCTCTATAGCATGCTTTATGGCACATATTACTACAGCTGTTCATAGTAAAAAAAAAATTTTTTTTACAAAGATTACTGTGCATAGTGCCTGATACAGAGACCAAACCTTTAATACCTGCAAATTTTGTGTTTTTTTATAGCAATAGCAACAAGCGAAGCAGGACAATCACCACCATATTCTAGCAACATGTGGACTCTTTATTGTCTAACTGATATGAATCAACAAAGCCGCCCATCACCGCCACCTGCACCTGGGCCTCTCCCCCAAGCAACCCTCTATTTATCTAATTCTAAGGATGCACAGTTTCTGCAGAATTCACCAAAAGTTACTTCTACTTACGTGATGATGGACGACAGCAAGAAGACCAGTCCCCCGCCTTTTATTTTAGTGGGCTCAAATGTCCAGGAAGCACAGGAGTGGAAACCTCTCCCTGGACATGCTGTCGTCTCCCAGTCAGATGGCTTAAAGAGATACACCACAGTACAAGTGCCCATTGCTGTCGCTGCAGACCACAAATTCCAGAAACACACCCAGAGTCCCCAGAATGCTAGTCCTCCTACAAGTGGACGCGATGGCCCCAGGCCACAAAGCCCAGTTTTTCTTTCTGTTGCTTTCCCAGTAGAAGATGTAGTTAAAAAAGGCTCAGGGTCTGGTGACAAACACACTCCTTTTGGAAGTTACGGTATCGCAGGGGAGATCACTGTGACCAGTGCCCATGCTCGCAGAGCAGAATCTTAAGTCTGGTAGGTGAATCTTCCTACCGTAGTACAGAGGCCTTCATACACTTGAGTTCTCAGCATTTTGATTGTCAACCTAGAGATTGAGATATTTTAAAAAACTGAATTGACAGAACGATGAGTCGGGGGCATACTGAATTTATGGGTTGTCTCCAACTGCATACTACTTAATAAAGGCCCAGTAATGTGAACCAAGCACCTTGTCACCTTTATGTGGTGGAGTCTAAGAGGCGGCGGATTATTAAGGACAAGGGAGTGTAGGAGGCACGGGTAAGGAATGGGGACAGGCACCCAGAAAGCAAGGAGAGAGCTGGCACTACGGGGATCGTACATGGCACACACGGTGGAGCTCAAGTGCCGAGCTGAATAAAGTCCTTCGCAATCTCATTTTTCAGTCATGCGCTGAATGACGACGGGAGGGCGGAAGAACATGTGCAGTATGGAGCCCTTCTTCCTGGGCCGGCCTCTGCTGGGCGTGAAATGCTGGGTGCCCTAGTGTAGACTCACGGGTAACGAAGAGCTTAGAATGGCAGGAGGGTGAACCCTGCATTTCTGATCGCCCATTAACTTCAGGATTGTACCCAACATCCACACAGACCACTGAACACAAGCTGCTTTCTTCCTTTTCAGGTTTGTAAAGAGCGTTTGCAACCCGGGTATACATTTTGAAAACCACTCCTATTCTTAGATCTAGGAATACCCAGCCAGGTATTCCTGCTGTCCTGCATTTGGCATTCAGAATGATGACAACAAAGCCTCTGAAGCTATGACCTGCCCACTTAACCTCTTCTGCAAGGCCAGTATTAAAGTGGCAGCATTTGTACATTTGAAATTTTTAAAGAGATCACATGTTTGAAACATTCTAAAGCCTTTATTAGTGTCAGGTAGATTATTTCATTGTAACACTTGTTAACTTCAAGACAGCAATTAAAATAATTTACTGGCAGCTACCTAAAGCCCCTTATAGCAATCTCTCAGTATGGGGTTTGGGGGGATAAATATAAGATTAATGTACCCCAATTAAAGGGGCAAAGCTACTGTACAGTAGGTCTCCATACATATTTTAAGTACACAGGTACCTTACAAACTTGAAATGCACAAGACCTCCCTTTACATAGTTTGATACTTACAATACATACACGAGTGCAGCTTACACACTCAGGTGGCAATGCCACTGGAAGTTGAAGCATTTAAAAAGGTTCATCGTTAGGTAATAAACACCTATTTCTAGGGCATTTGTGAATTGCTAGATTTTATACATATTTGCAGTTCAAACATGTACAGTTAATGACGCTTACAGAAAACTGTAAAAGTAAAGAGCACTAACATAAGTAAATACCTTTTCCAGTTTAATTAGAATTTTTAAATTGGGAAACCCTATTCAGAATAGGCATCTTTTTCCTTTTAGGAGTGGGGGAGGGATAAAATTGAGATGATTAATATGATTAAAAGCCATCTTACCAATTTAGTTATTTACTAAATTGCAGCCCCTACGGTTGAGCACATAAACATTATATAAGAGAATTCTAAATGTCAAAATTACTTCTAAAATGTTGAAAGCATGACAGCATAAAAATAGTCAAAATAACTTGATTTGAGATTACTATATATTTCCATAAAGCTAAAGTTACATTTAACAACCTGGAAAAGCATCTTCAGCAGTTTTTCTTTCCTCTCTATAAAATAATATTTAAGACTTTCATTATCCAGTATCACTGTGTGCCCCACCTTGTTGGGTGAAATGCAGGTTATCTTGAGCAGATTTTTTTCCTTTTGAAAGATGAGTAGAAACCAAGGAACAAATTTAAAAACATACGTTTAAGACTTATTTATACATTAGCCAAACATCCTGACTCGTCTGCATTTTAATAAATGTCAGGCAAATTAAAGTAGTTTCTGTCCCAGTAGCTGCCAGAGTAAATCCAGTCCTGTGCTCCATTGTAGGGATTGGGACCTTGATGGAACCACCTGTTAAAAGAGAGAGAACAAAATTTACTGGGGAGACTTCAAAACCCGAGTGCCTGCTGGTTCTTTGCGTGCTGTGAGTTAGAGCTTTCCAAGGAAGTGAAGCAGTGGTCCATCTTCTCCTTATGGAAATACTGTGCACAACAGTATTCCACAGGGGACACATGCCTGCAGAGGGTTCTGATCCACGGTAGCAGCAACGCAGCGCTCACTGAGCTTCCAAGGGGCTCATTAGAAACAATGTTCTGTTTGTCCTCTGGGCTACTTCTCATCTTCCACTAGACGGCATTCTTTTCAGGAATTAGGGTTAGAAAATGAACCTTTTCAGAGCACCCAAGGCAGTACTTAAAATGTTGGCGGTACATGCTTTCCAAACTCGAGGCTCCATTTTACAGCTGAGGAGGTGAATGAATGTGAGACCAGCCACATAACTGTTAGTTGTCCAAGGTAGGACTGTACAAGCAAACTTAGTTTGACTTTAAGGGCCACAGTGTTTCTAATGTCTGCCGCACATACTTTATGAATCTTCAGTGTTAATATAGATTCTGCGGTCATCCCCACCCTTAAAATCTGAACCTCTTCTAATTCTGCAAAGCTGCCTCCTTGTTTCACTGCCCACTAAACAACACTCATTTTCTGCAGAACTAGCTTTCTGTAAGGTAACAAATGTAGAATCACTTCAAAAGGTTCACAGTTAACTCTGTGTCACATTTTCCAAATAAAGGGACCAGAGTAACATCTGTGATAAAGAGTTTTCTACATCTTTGCCATTTTGTCCACATAGTTAACAAGAGTGAGGTTGGATCTGCTTAGTCAATCTGTATCCAGTGTTACTGTTATCACTGCCACAAGATTATAAAAACAGAAAAAAAGGGGGCTTTGTATTTGGTCAATTCTTCGACGTCATATAGTGCAGGTATACTCAGCCAAATTTTCCAAAACATTGAAGTACTTATTGGCTTTTGAGATGTTTTCTAGGTAGGAGTCTAGTTTACCTGATCAGGATATGGGTCATCCAGACTTTGGATATACTAGAAGAATGCCTTAGGAATCATTAACCAAAATCAGAATTTTTGTCTAACTTGAAATGTAGAGTTATATATATATAGTCCCTTAAATCTCAAAGGGTCTGAACAGTGTGTCTCTTTGGGAGGCTATCAAGGTATCAGAGAAGAAGGCAAATCAGAATCAAGGCAGACAGGACTGGAGCCCAGTGTTTCCGTCAGACAGTTACCGAACAGTGTGACAGCAATCAGTGGTCTTGTTCACATTCGGCTCTGACACAAAGCTCTCCAAAGACTATGTCTGCAAGCCCGGCTTGGGGCGTCACCTGTTCTTGGGGACAGCGCAGCCAGAAGGCTGCAGTAAAGGTTTCCCCGGTGGTGGGCTGCAGGCTGGCTCCCGGTCAGTTCTCATTCTAGCGCTTGTGCCTGGAAAGCCGGGCGCTGCTGGGACTCTGCCCTGCCCCAAGAACAAGCCAGTGAACTTGTCTTGCTCCAGTCTCAGATGTCTTAGGAAAGGTGTCAACAGGAAAGAGGAGGAAGATTACTACCTTATATTCACTGTTTCACTCTGCAGAGTCCTGCACCTATTGAATAAAATGCCATTTTCTAAACATACTACTTCTGCACCATGTTCACACTGTGAGATGACATCACCACACTTTTGTGGCCCTCCAATCCCCTCTCTGTCAATGCCATGTCTCCTGCCACCTCCTCCAGTCCACCTGGGGAGGTCTCCAAGGACACAGTTCGGGGTCACAGGCAGCCACATGTTCAAGCAGGGATCACAGCCCTGAAAACTGCCCCAGAACTCTTCAACGGGGTGAAGGGAGTGGGTGGGAGCAGGGACGGCAACAGCATGGAGAGCCTGAGCCACTTTTAGGAAACTTCTAGGCTTCACTATGAGGGAGAGTTAGCTCTTCCGATAAAATGGTGCTTGACGAAACTGTCCCCTCTTCCCCCTCACATGGAGCAAAATATTCAAAACTGCACCGTCTGCCTGACAGCAAAGTCAGCCACTGTGCAACCCTTTGCCACCACTGGAGAGGAGCTCCACGCCCCATGCCCTCTGAGGAGCGCTCAGCAGGGTCATTTTAAAGACTGCTCCATCCACAGATGCCTGGTGAGGGGAGTGGGAGCCTCAAACAGCTCTGCTTTTTATGTCAGACTTGTACTGAACTGTCCAGAGGTCTTCACCAGCAGTAAATTTCTTGGTGGACTTTTGCCAACATATAACTGAAAATGTGACTGCAAAAATAAAGGAGTTAGGTCAGGCGTGGTGGTGCACACCTGTAATCCCAGCACTCAGGAGGCTGAGGTAGGAGAATCACTGTGAGTTCGTGGCCAGCCTGGCCTCCAAAGTGAGTTCAATGCCAGCCTGAACTGCATAGTGAGACCCGGTCTCTAAAAGAAAAAAGAGAATAATTAGAAGTAATTAAATCCCACAGATAGGAAGTTTTCTGCGGGAGACACTAAAAAGAATGACAAAATGTATCAAATCTTGTTAAAAGGAATCACAGTAAAGTGGCTTTGACTGGAAGGAGGAATGGAGGTGGAGGTTCTAGTTCCAGGAAGGCTCTTGGAAGGAAAGGAAATGTGCATCGCCGCCTTCCTTGGTGCAGAGAAAGGCTATCTAGAGCAGCAGTTTATATGGTATTCCGGGCTTTCAACCTGGGGCTCATGTGGGTACAGCCCGGCACTGCCCACCCCTTGTACAGCTGCAGACTCTTCAAGAGTTACCTGCACAACAGATTCTCGCGGTAAAACAACTCACTGGATTGGATATGTGAGGCCATTTCTACTCCCGTAACTATCTTTTAGAGGCAAAAGGACTACTAAATAGTATCTGCTGAAATGTTTGCAAAATGATGCTCATACTGGCTTTACATTTATTTTGTTTTATAACTAAATTATGGGTCAGTGGCTTCTATTATGTGATAATAAATGTAGAAACTGTTTTCATGCTATTCCTATTTATAAATGACTATTACTCAATAAACAGTGACTAAGTAATTCCTGGTTTAAAAAAAACTTTTAAAAGCCAGAAATCTTATTGCTCACTTTTGACTCTGGAATGGAATCCAAGATGCTACTTCTTACCAATGCTACTTCCATCGCATAGAAAATCTCATATTTAGAAATATAAAGCCACTGTCTAAATATCACTGATGTATGATTTCCTCTAATTTTCTCCCATATAGGAGCAAATAGTTCTGAATGTATGTGCATACCCAAATGCATAAATTCTGGATTTTACTTTCCCTCTTCAGTAAGAAAGGGGTAGGGTTTACCACGTGAGGAGTATCATGTGGGAATATTTTAACCTTCATTTTCCTATAGTCATTTTTCTTTGTTGCATACACAGTTCTTTGGCTTGCAGGCTTTACAGCCACTGGGAATAAGTTCTCTCTCAGGCCTGTGTTGGAGCCACTTCCCAGAGTCCCACAGCCCTGCCTGCCTGAGCGCTGGGCCCACCCTCAACACTGCACACACCTTGTCTTCCAGTCCTCTTCTGACTTGGACCTATTTTTGCGGGCTGCTCTCTGTTTTTCTTCAAGCCGCTTTTTTTCTTCACTAGCTTGATCTAGAATAAGATCAATAAGCATAGTAAGCATGGAGAACCACTATCCACGTGTATGAGCATCTCCCCGTGCAGAGGACAACCCCACAGTCAAGCATCAGCTTAGCATCTCAGCACATGGCTAGAGGTAGAGCTGGCACTTAAGATGCTCAAGCTTACGGCTTTAGCAACCTCTGCCTTCAGCAAAAAGAACCTGCTTATTTTTATGGCCAAAAATGTTGAGATGTTTTAATCAAAACTTGGGTGAAAAAGTACAGTAAATGTAAAATTATTCTAAACTCTCAGACCTCTCAGAACTTCAGACTCCATTCCCAGGAAATTCCCCCAATCATCCAAAGCACTGTTGCTCTGTCTCACTGGTACCTCTGACCCTTTGCATGGGATGATCCACTGTCCTGTGCGTGATAGGACATTCAGCAGCAGCCTGATCTCCAGATGCCACTTTCCTGAGACGTGACAACCAAAGTCCTTAGATATTGTCATACCTTTCCTGGGAAAAATTACTTCCCTTTTGCAGAACCACTGAGTTAAAAGAAACTGTACACTAAAACTCGTACAGTTGTCCAAGGGGAAGCCACGCTTTTCTTTGAAGCTCAGAGGTGAAACATGAATTGTGAAATACACTGTAATTAGAATATAAAGCTCACAGAGATGCTAAATTGCGTGCCAAGGTAAGACACGCCCCGGGGGATGCAGTATATTAAGTTACCAAGGGAGTAACACTGAAGCAGCGACTCTGAGTTAATCAAGTCTACTAAGATAAAAGTTGCTCAACTTGAATGTAACAATGTCTGAGGGAGCCTGAAAGAAGCCTGTACCCAATGAAACTAAGTCACCAGGACTGAGACAGCCAGCAGCCACAAAGAATCCGCAGCAGGACAGCCACTCCTTACCGATTTCTCCATTCTCCATGGCCCGGATATCGGGCCGCAACCTGCAGTCAGTCTTGGGGATCACACTCTCCATTTCCTTGTCCACTTCATTCAGGACCATGGCAAAGCTGGTGAAATTATACATCTGAAAGCAGCAAAGCGGTCACATTGACATGACACAACCCAACAGCCCCAGGAGAGGCCGTCTCCGGTGACAGCGATCCTGCTGGTCATCGGTCGTGCATGTCAGATCACATGTCTAAACGGTTCCATCCCAATCCAAGCCACCTGCTGGTACTCATGTCCCAGCAGTCTTAATGTGGACCTTGCAGAATATGTAGCCTCTGTTAACTAAGGGGAACCATAAACAAAATCAACATCTCTCTTTCTGCACTGAATCCTTTCTGGGTATGGAGGTTTATACTGTTGAGGTGGCCTCTGCTTGTTGAACATGTTGCTGCCAGCTTGATCTATTGGTGGCACATGCATGACTGTCCCATCAATGAGTGGCTTGTGCAGCCATGCATGTAGCCAGGGTTAGTCTTATCCCCAACTGATGACCAGAGAAGCCATCAGCACATCCTCTGGTTTGACCCCAGAATGAATGGTGCCACAAACGTGTGGAGCCTCTGGGCACGGAGGGGAAGCCCAGGAGGTCAGCAGGGGACAACAGATGACAACCTGTGACAACCTATCTACAGCCCGGTGCTGCCTGGCAAAGGGTACGGTTCTGAGCAAGCTGGGCTCACCTGGGCAGAGTTGGGCGGCCGTGGGGCTATTCGCCACAGGAGGACGCTGCCTGGGATGACGAACACGCTCTCCGAGTCCGGCATGGGCATTTCATCAGACTCCTCCGACGTGCTCACCTGCAAGGGGGCCAGGTAGACAGAGTTCAACGAAAGCTTTTAAAGTACATGTGTGCTCTTAGAAATAAAATAGCCTCACTTTATTGTACCCCATGAGAAAACTAGGTGTGTGAGGGCAGAAACTGTGCCTCCTTTTTTTCTGCTGGAAGTACTATTTTCTTTTGGTCTGAGGCTTGGCAGAGGGTTCCCTGATGGGTGCAGGGAGCGGCTCAAGCCAAAGCCCCACTCCCCAGGGACAGAGAGGCACTTGGAGGGCTCCTGCTCATGCTCTAGGGCCAGCCAGGCCTGGGGTCACCCCCACTCCTGCCACACCACACCTGTTCTCTAGAAAGTCACAGAGACTGGGCCTGTGCTGGCAGAGCCCAGAACATGACAGTCCAAGAAGAGCTGGTCCAAGGTTTCACCCACTCCTCCTGAAAAGGGTGCTGCGGGTTCCGGAAGAGGGCACAGATGATCTCCTGTCTGGGGCTCTAGCACTTCTCTGGCCTGTGCCTTTCAGAGCCACCCCATCACAGTCAAACCCAAAGCAGAGGGGGCAGGTGCAGGAGGCTGGCAGGCCCAACCTCTGATGTGTGTGGGGGCAACCAGAAGCCAACCACAAAATCCAGGCAAGGATGCAGGCAAGAAGCCCCTGAGGGCTGTGAGTGGAGGTGACCAAAGAGAGGGTGCCCCCGGGGCGGGGCTGCTGGTCCACTGTTACCATCATTATCCTTTTTTTTTTTTTTTTAACTATTCTTTGTTCTTAAAGCTTCTGCTTTTTAAAGACAGGCTGCACTCTGGAGACCCTCAGCTAAACTCATCAGTGATGGGGCACCAGGAAGGATCAAAGGTGACAAGAGGAAAATCTAGATAGCAGTCAGAAAGTGGAGCTCCCTTCCCTGCGCTCCCCATGGCAGGGCTCTGCTGGGCCTTTTCATACTGGGACTCTGGGTAACAGGGGAGCTCCACTGCTGTGCTGGCTTTGAGGTGGGGAGGAGGGTGACAACATTCCAGCATCACAAGTAAACAGTCAACCAACCACCTGGTTGAAATGTCAATCTGCTTCAGTTTTGAGCATCTGCGAGGAGGGTAACACTTCCTGTGCCTGCGGGCAAGCTCAGGAACCTTGAAAACGCAGGTGGGAAGGAGAGGTGCCAGACAAGGAAGCATGTTTGAGGGGAAGGCTGCTTTTCTACAAAGACTGACCAGACCCTTGGGGGACACACAAGGGATATTCGCTGGGCTTTTGACAATGCCCTTTGTGTCCCCATTCTGTAAAGGAGGGCTGGATGACAAGTGTGCTGCTGAGGCTGTCTTAGGCAGGCTGACTTCCCTTGGCAGGACTGCAGCCACAGAATGTGCTACTGACTTCCTGACAGCTGCAGAGAACCTGCTGCACACCTCACCGAATAAGGCAAAAGCATGCAGGGCCAGGGCCGTCAGGAGGAAAGTGGGACTGTACACACCGCTGAAGGAAACACAGCAAGCAAGTCCGGCCACTTAATGGAAGATCGCTTTGCCTTGGGAACTCAGCTCCATTTTACAAAGAAATATAACTAATATAACTTCCACCTTTGGGGGAAAATGAGGACTTCTAAAGCTTTTTGTATGCACCAGCAGCAGGAAGAGGCCTGGAGCCTTCGATCTGGGGACTGCAGTGAGAATAGGGACCCGCATTTTCAATGAGTTGCCAGGGATGTTGCACCAGCAGAAAGGACTCTTAATCTTGCCCCAGGTGAAGACACTTATGAGCCTTTTTCACCTGTTAACAAACAGGTCCTGTTATGATCCTTGTTTTATACTGAAAGTCCTGAGACTGAGATGAGAATCTGCCCCAAGCCAGCAGTACCCAGAAATGGCAGCACAGGATTCTAACCCAAGCTTGGGCTCTGACCCTTTTCCTGGTTTATGGAGAGGACTCGGTCCTTAAACAAGGGCCTCTTGTCCAAACTGCTGCGCCCCTGTGAGCTCTCAGCGGCTCTGCACAGACAGAAGGGATGAGGTCTGCTGAGAGTAACAGCTGGCCGGGGAAGTGGAGAGTCCCAGGGGCACTGACTGTCCCGCAAGAAGAGCGCTTATTAAACAGAGAGAGGCCCAGCAATGGCGCTGTGGCTGACTGGCCCTAACTGCTGTGATTCAGCACTAGGGAATCAACAAGACAGAGTTGTGTGAAAATCCAAGACTTGATCCTGGAAGACACTTTACCTGTTCAAACACAACGGTGAACCCCAACTTTCTGCAGCTATGTGAGCTATATCCAAGCCACAGAGAATTGCTACTGTATCACAAAAGTAGCATATGGCCACTTCTGGTGTGGGATCATGACAAACCTTTGCAACTAAGTCACTCATTTGCTCATTGAAAAAAGCAAGAAGAATTATGGGCATTAGCCACACTAACAAAGGGATGTCCATCAGCACTGCAGCACTGGGTTAGCATAAGCCCAAGGCTCCGGTCACTCCCGGACACCACATTGCAGCACGTTCACCTGTTTGCTGTTCTTCTTCTCTTCAGTGTTTTTCTTGTCGTTCTTTTTGTAAGCCTCAAAAGTGGCAGGGTCAACACTGTACAGACACTCGGTCCACTTCCCGTACAGTGCGCAGAGCTTCTTTTTGCTGTCAAGAGAGATTAATGTTTAGTCAACAAATAAACCAGGGTCCTCAATGTTAGTATCAAGATTTTTGGGAATCAAATTCTTTTTTTGTTTGTTTGGTTTTTTTGTCTTTTTCCTTTTTATCGGTACCGGGGATCGAACTCACGACTGCCTGCTTGCAAGGCAGGTGCTTATGCCGCTGAGCTAAATCTCCAGCCCCATGAATCAAATTCTTAAGAAAGAGACATTTTCCTGTAGGAGACTTTTCTGTTAGGATACTAGTTTCCTAGTTTATGGTAGCAGGTTTTAGTGTTGACATCTTAGGAACACCTATTCTATTCAACATATAAAAAAGAAACCTTACCTTTTGTCTTGAATGTAGCCTTCGACTTTGTGTAATTCCTTACCAAAAAGGCCACATGGCTTAAAATTCAACACGCATTTGTCCCCAGTCCTGTGAAGGAAACAGCAAGTTCAGGTTACCATTCAGCGCTACAGAAGCAGTAGAGAACGCAGAGTATCTGTGATAACCTTTCTGGGGCAGCTGCTGTTTACTGATTCTCTGTACATTCTTATCAATCAGTAACACCCCAAGGAAAAGTGCACGAGGTTTGTAATGAATGAGCAACTTGCCTAAATTCCCAAGGCAGGATTAGAACGTGACAGCTTTCATTCTCCCTTACCAAGTGCATAGGTAAAACGTCACCCTATGTCCTCCACATCAGTAACACAAAGGAAACAGTATCTGGAAAATGAGCTCAGTTTGGAATAAAATCCTCAGAGCCTGGGGAAGCTCAGCATTCACTCATCTTCCTTAATTAGAAATGTCAATGAATCCTATTCATTAAATGAATGGGCTTCTTAAGCACTCAGCAGTTAGACTACCCAATGTGTTGGGTTGGGGTTTGGTTTGGTTTTGTGTTGAGACACGGTGTTGCTAAGTTGTCCAGGTTAGCTCAAATTTGTGATCCTCCTGCATCAGCCTGCTGAGGAGCTAGGTTTGCATGCATGAACCACCACATCTGACCTATTGCCTGATCCTTAAATTTTCAAAGGACTCTACTAAAGGGTTTTCTTTTTTGGTAATAAACTCACTGAAGATGTTTCATGAAAACTGATGTGACAGATTAAACACTCAAAAGTGCCTTACTTGTGGTTTGTGATTTCCACATTGCCATATTGCTCAATCCAGAGTTTACCCACGATGATATTGTGCACACAGCAGGTAGGATTTGTCCACGTATATGCTTCATTGTGTCTATTAAAACACACACACAAAAGCAGAGAAACAAGTGACAGGTGTTATTTCTTTTTGAAAAGTGCATTTGCTTCAAATACTTCAGACTAATCAATCAGGCTCCTCTGATGGTCTAAAATAGACATCAACTTCTTATGTTTTTTTCTTTTTAAATGGAGTGTTGTTATGCTGCCCAGGCTGATTTCAAACTCCAGCGCTCTGGTGAGCCTCCTGCCTCAGTCTTCCAAAGTAGCTGGGGCTACAGGTACATGCCAGTATACCTGGGTTATTCTTATTTTAAAAGAAAACAAAAACTTGAAAAATAATTCTATACTTCCACTAAATTCTAAATAAGCTATACACAGGTTGAGTATCCCTAATCTGAAAATCTGAAATCTAAAACTTGAAGACCAACATGATGCTCAAAAAAATTTAGATTTTGGAACATTACATATTTTGGACTTTAGGGATGTTGAACTGATAAAGTCTATGTAAATATATATTGTCAAACCCAAGAAACTCCAAAATCTGAAATACCTGTGATCTGAAGCATTCCAGGTAAGGGATATTTGACCTATTTGTAATCATTTCTAAGCATTCAAAAATAACATATAAAAAGTCAATTTAAATGTTCTATGAGTTTTAATACATGTATGGATCTGTGTAATCACAATACAGAACAACTCCATCACCTGCCAAAGATTTGCTAATGCTCTCCAGGTAGTCAAAGCCTCATTCATTCCTAATCTCTGGATTCTTAATTTATCCCTAAGTGTTAACTAGTTGATCTGTTTTGCAATGTCACAATGTCACCTTCTCCAGAATGTGAAGTACAAAGGATGTACAGTATGTAAGCTTCTGAGGTTAATTTATGTGATACATGTTCTTCTATATAACAATACTTCATTCTGGGCGGTGTGTCACACCTGCCTTGGGGCAAGAGTGAGAGTGAGAGAGAAGGGGCTGGGGATTTAGCTCAGCGGCATAAGCACCTGCCTTGCAAGCAGGCGGTCATGAGTTCAATCCCCGATACCGGTAAAAAGAGAAAAAGAAAAAAAAAATTAAAAAAAAGAGTGAGAGAGAAGACAGAGTTCCCCTGCTCTCTCTACGCCTTCCCACACCTGCAGATCAGAAAGGGTGGGGCTCTGTCTGCTCCACTTCTAGTTCTGGGACTTCTTGTTCTAACGCTAAACCAGAGAAAGAGGAGGAAAAAGAGAAGGTAGGAATCTCTGCTGACTTGGGTCGTCTTCAGATTTGATCTCTCTCCCCAGTCTGCCCGCCTTTCTTCACTGTCCACAGTCCTAGGATTGTGGTTTGTTTGCTGTCTGTCTGTCTGTCTGTCTGTCTAGGGTTTCTAGCTGGACTCAATGGGAAGGAGAATGCAAGACTCATCTGGCAGAAGAGGAGAACTCCTAACTTACCCACTTCTAACACATGCAGCACATATTTCTCAAGGTGAATTCATTTCAAAAAAATAAAATACTGGTAGCATGACACACAGGAGCCTCTATGCAGTTAATGATTAACTCTACCTATCTTAAAGTAGATCTAAACACCAGGCTCAAACATCAGAATCAACTCTCTTTTTTGCAGTGCTAGAGGATGAACCCAGGCCTCTGTGCATGCTATGCAAGTGCTCTACCACTGAACCACATCCCCAGCCCACGGGAAACTTTACAGTGCTCAGATGAGCAGTGGCTGTGAGCTCGCATCTCAGGTTTTTTCAGAGGCAAATTTCCAACTGGGAAAAGGCTGCTGCTCTCAGGGTCTCCAACTCCTGAACAGTAAGGTCAGGTCATAAGACCTGAGCTCTGCGTGGAGGCAGCGTGAAAAGGGTGAATGGCTTGATCGTGACTTACTCAAGGAGCTCCAACGTGATGGTTCCTTTTGGTTCTGCTTCTACACTCTTCCCCCAGAACTTCAGTTTGGGGTAGATTGAGCCATGAAAGATGAAATCGTTGTTCAATCCTTCAGCGTGGAATGCACTGATGGGGGGGTGGTGGCTGACCTGCTCAGAGATGAGCCTGAATCCAAGGTCATCTCTTAAGATTTAAAAAAAAAAAAGAATCATAATTAACTCTACCACTAAATATTGCCATTTCACTTAAAAAGCAATTCAGATATTAAATAGGTTCGATGATGAAGTACATAATTCTTTATCATCATCTAATATATGAGAAATCATACAAATGCAACCTGGAAAATTAAATCAAGTGCTGTTACAATGGTAGCTGTTTGAGCATACTACAGAGCACTTTCATGGATTAAAGTGACTGACGCGAAATGGTAATATTAGCCATGCAGATAAAACTTATGCCTTCAATTAAGACAGAGAAATACAGTGTGTTTACTTTATAACATCTAGAGAGTGTGATTAAAACTTGTAAAAACAAGATAATGATACAGGGAAACTACAGTCAAATTCACCTAATTTTGTGTAAATAAGAAACACCTAGTGTGGGCAAACTGAGCTATCTTGAAGGTTCATCTATTGCCTTTAAGGCATTTATAATAGGCATGTATGTATTTATGCTATGTTAAAAAACCTTTGTCTTATGATCTGCATAAATACGAGGATAGTTAGTAATCTCATGGTCAGTGTAGTTACTTTTGATAATGGTACATTTTACGTCTCTTTCACAGTCTTTAAAGACACAGTCTTTAAAATCCTAAGTGTCACAGAAAGGCCCATCAGAACCACTCATTTGTTCCAGCCGTGCGGAACTGTCTGGTGGCATTCAGGACAAGTCCTCTCAGCGAGAGCTACCGAGCTACAGAAAGCACGCGAACGCCACCCCCGTGGGGGCGCAGGCTCACCGCACTAGCTCGTAGGTCTCCCCCAGCAGCGGGTTGAAGGGCTTCCCGGTCCGCTCCCACTGCGAGGCCACGGCGGACACAGCGAAGGCGGCCACGCACTGCGGGAGAGAGGGCGCGTGTTAAGAGAGCCCGGGTCTAGGGGCTGGGGATTTAGCTTAGCGGCATAAGCGCCTGCTTGCAAGCAGGCAGTCGTGAGTTTGATCCCTGATACCGATAAAAACGAAAAAGACAAAAAAAAAAAACAAAAAAACAACAACAACAACAACAAAAAAGTGAGAGCCCGGGACTGGGTGGAGGCTGACTGCGGTATTCTGAGCAGTTTCATTTGTTCAGTAAAACGGGCTCCAGAAGTGACACAGAGCCCTGGGTATTTGTAAGGGAAAGCACCAAGTCTCTTCCCACAGTGTCACACACACAAGGGTTTTGTAACATCTCAAACCAAGTTACTTTTAATACGCTTGAACTTTTTTTAAAAGGCCACAGCCCCTCAGTATCTGAGGGGAATGAGCTCTTACACCACCCTTGGGGGCCAAACTCTGAGGTGCTGAAGCCTCATAAAATGCTGTAGTATCTGTATGCAGCCCCCACAACCCTCTCATGTGCACTAAATCCTCTCTGGGTTTTAATACCTAATACAATATAGACAGTTATCTTATGTTCATACTCTGAGCAGATGCCATTTTTCCTCAAGTACTGTGCATTCAAGCTTGGTTTAATCTGTGGAACCCAGATTGGTTTAATCTGTAGACCGCCAACAGTGCATCTCATTTCCTGGGGGTGTGGGGGGGACTCGACAATTAATTGGTGTAAAAGCCACTGAAGTTAGGAAAAGTTGATTTATATACACAAAAGAGCAGAAAGATTCAGGTTAGAACGCTACTGCTGTGTGTGAAAGCGAATAATGTGTCCACTATACTCTGCCTGTCTCGTCCACCCGTGTGTATCACATAATCATTTCTATTCAAAAGAAATTTTGGAAGTTCAAGTCCTTGCTGCCTTGCTTGCACACACTGGTACGGGTACAGGCACACGTAAGCACAAACACGCATGTGTGTGTATTCACTCCTTCCTAGAAACTCCTTGAGGTCGAGGCATGGAGGGATGATGGATGGATGGCAGGGAATGGAAGAAAGAAGAGCTCAGGATGCCACAGGCATGTTACCAGTTCCCAGGATGAATGAACTTTGTATACTGCAAACCTATACTAAAAGGGTGTGGGAAAAGAAGTTCTCAGAAAGCCTCACAGAAATAGACTTTGCCCTCTGCTGACACAATGCTGCGTCTGCAAAGACAGCAGAAGTAGCTCGCAATACCCAGGCGTGGTGTGACCACCTTCTGCGTCTCCTGAAACTCCCACTGGCCTGTCACTGTGGTAACGTTCTGTGGGGCAGGGGGACGGACACAGGGGTCCTCCACACATGCTGATTAAGCGATAAGCACATCTCCCCCTCTCACACGGGACTTTGTCCTAGTTCTGTGTTCATCTGGGCGCGACTTGGGGGAAAGGGTGGGAGACAAGCCTCGAAGAAACACATTTAACTTTTTCCCAGTGCACGCTTGATAACATACCTGCATCCTTTCCACGGGGTCAGAAAACGAACTGGCCTTGTGGATGAGGTAAGTGTGCTCCATATATTCAGTGAGTCGTTGCAGGAAGCTCAGAGGCTCATTAAATATAACTGGCATTGTGATCTTGGAGAGTTCCTATTCAACAAGAAAACTGAACTGTTACAGCCAATGTACACAGCAGGATCACCTCTGCTCTCTTTACATAACAAATTGCTACAAAGGAAGTTACAGAAAGTTGTAGCCTGTAAAATTTAATCAACGTAAGTTTGATTTCACAAATCTTTCCAGGCACCTAAAAATAGGCAGTACATTCTTTTAGAGCTTGATGGAAAAATAAAGACCATTCTCCTTGGCTTCACGGACAGTGCAAGCTCGTAATGAGCACAAAACTACTGTTAAGTCTGCTTCCATCAGAATTAAGAAATGGGATATAAAAGTGATGGGAACACAGAAAGCAAAAATCTTCATACTAGAGTTTAAACAACTGATGGAGGTGAGGCTAAGATGCAGGTCCAGTGACTTGATTTCCTATATAAACGAAGTGAAAGCGAATTCAGTGTAAATGTTGGTTTCCCATTCGGAAACCGCCAGACTAACCTCTAATGCACAACTGTCCCCTTTACCCAACAATGTATTTTCTTTGAGCCTTTCAAAGGATGTCTCACCAAGCCCTCTCCCATGTCTTGCAGGAGTGCCACACTGTTTGAAGTCTGCATCAAAATTTCAAGTGCTAGCTTGTGCCTAAAGTTCATCTTTTAAGACTGGCTAAGGACCAACCACATATGCCAATTTTGTGGGTAATTTTCCAAACAAAACTTGAGACTGATTTTAGCTGACAGCGCTGAGATTTTCCTGAGCCTATCTCTCTAGTAGCAAGTGAAGATGAGAGTACTTTTGCATTTATTGAATGGTTTTAAACTTTGTCTCTAAGGATGGTACTATCTCAGCCCTCTCAACACTGTTAAATGACTGGCAGGGCTCTCTGGCAATCTTTCAACTCTGTTCACTACGTGCTACTAGCAAGAAAGACCAGCCTGAGATCTGCTCCAACACACAGGACAAGTTTACCTTTTTCTCTGGACTATTCTGATGGGATTCTCACATGCATACCTCTGGGACCCTGCTCTCTCACGAGTCCCCTGTCAGCTGCCTGGTCCTGAGGTGCTATCCAGGCTGAATGCCGCAGGGCTCTTCTGGCGCTCTCCCCCAGGCTGATTCTGACCCATCTGCATGATTAAAAACAACGTGACCTTCCCCACATTGTAACTGGGTGCACTTGAATAAATAAGCTCACTTGTTACTATAAAACACTAAGAACACAGGCAGACAGGTGGCAGCTCAACCTAATCAAAAGAAATAGTTGACCTACTGGGGAGTCATGGAGAACTATTAGAATGGAAGCTCACTTATGTGCATCCCAAGATGCCATTAACCCTGAGATTTACTACGGGCACAAGTCAAGACATAACTTGTTTGAAACGACCCAGAATCCTTTTTATCTACTTAAAAAATACACTTTTCTTTAAAAAAAAAAAAAACAAATAGAGGAATATAAACTCTTAGTGTAATAAAAATGTTTCTTCATTTCCTTCAACTACTCCTGTCCCGGAGGCAAAGAACCAGCGAGAGTTTAGGACACACGCCAGTGTTGTACACTTCTGCACAGGTGCGTATGTGGTGGAGGGGAGAGAAATTTTCCTTCCGTGTTTGGACACACACAGGCAAGACACATACGCTTAGCATATGGACTTTTTTTACTTCCCAGGTAGTGTAATGCTAAGACCATTTAACCTCCCTGCTTGTACTGCTGGCTCCGTCAATTATCAGCTAGAGAACTTTGCCCAGTTTAACGGTGCCAGTTTCTTTATCAGTAAGGCAAAACTAATAGCTACCTACCACGAAGCACTGTTACAAGACTGATGCTGGCAAAAACACTTAAAATAGGTTCTGGAATATAAGGAAACGCTATATAAATCTGTTACATTTAAGACAAAGCCTATACCTGGACATATCATGCACTATTTAATAACATCTCTTTAGAGCACAGGCAGCTATGGTTTTAGAGTGAGTTTCTCTAGGAGGAATTTCTGAGTCAAAAGCATAGTTGGATAACAGTTTTACAAACATAACCTACAGTAAACATGTCCTGAAAAGGCTTTTCTAATTTATATTCTCCCATGTAGCATAAGTCTGATCTTTTAACATCAAAGCTAACAGAGGGATGCTCCTTCCAGTCCATTAAGCTATCCACACTCATTAATCAGGTCCATAAACAAACAAGCACTGTGCGCCAGGCTCTGTCCCAGTCAGGGGATGAGAGGCTCCTCTACAGCCCGCCCCGACCTGGAATGCCCTGGCCTTTCCTGCAACTCCTCTGCACCCAGATTTCCAGGCCAGGCCGAGCCTCTGTTCCTGACCATGTTTCCAGCACTCTCCGTGCGCCTGTTCCCGCCAGCTCCTGATACACATGCACACTGCTTGCAACTCAGAATCTGATCATGCAATAGATCGTATCACCCAGTGCGACGTCACAGGCACTGAAAGCACGTGATCTTGCTAACTGCAGTATAACATAATTGCTAAAGGAAAAGGACATCCTCTGGCTGCATCTTCAGTCACCTCAAGAAGAGAGGCCCCCGTGTGGGTCCACCTGTTCCCAACGTACCTAGGGACCCCAACATTCCTGAGTTCATTCCTTTCAGTCAGTTGTCACATAGTGCCGCTCTTACCCTGTCACGTTCCCTGGACTACCAGCTCCCCAAAGATGCAACATCTGTTTAATGACGCACAATCGTTAATGCGGTGGAATGCCGAGTGAAAAGTAGGTCACCTTTGGAGTGTTATTCAGCACTAAAAAGAAACAAGCAATAAGCCCAGGAAGAGACATGGGAGGAACTTTAATGTGTGTTACGAAGTGAGAGAACCTGATTTGAAAAGGCTACACACCGTGCAATTGTGGAAAAGTCAAAACAACAGAGAAAGTGAAACATCTGTGAACACAGCTGCTGTGGGGAACAGGGAGGAACACGGAAACACATGGGGACCTTTCAAGCAGTGAGACTCCACTAGAGCGGTGGGCACGTGTCACTGTGCCGGCAGACCACTGAGTGTGCCTCTCCTTGCACCAGTCTAACCAGGGACAGCGACAGTCTGGAGCCGGGCCCCTGTGGGAACTCAGGGACCGCACGGAAACTCTCTGTACTCCCCATGGTGCTCTGATCCTAAAACTGCTCTAAGAAAACAAAGTCTTAAAAAATAAAGTGAAATCTGAAAGACTAATTTTGATCAATCGTACTTGAAGAAATGCTTTAATTTTATGATAGAAAACATCATACTATCACTGGCACATGAAAAGAGAGTGTACAACCCCCAAAAGTACACTCCTTTAAGCATTGTAGAAAATGTTAGGCAGGTGACTAATAAAACTATCATTTTACATTTGCACTGTTTTGGTATGCTGGTTAAGACTTGAAAATTCATGTAATATTTTTCTCATTCTAAACTGTTGGAGACCACTATGAAGCAGCTCTGACCAGGATTTAAATTTTACTAATTGACTTTCTAAGTTTATCTGTGAGTATGTCCTAGGCCTAGGCCCCTTGCCTGGCAAAGGGAGCTAATTCATAGTAAGTGAACCACCGGTCCTGGCTGAGGCCTGTAGTGGCCTGTGAGGCCAGAGATACTTCAAAAGGCACGATAAGGCCACAGCTGTGGGCACTTGGCTCCAACCCCAATTACCAAGACAGAGACTGCAGCTGCAGATATTACTCCTTCAGTCTCACTTCTACATGTCTTCGTGATAAGACAGTGCTACTGAATTGACCTGATTCACCACTGGAGACGTCCTTGAAGGACTCCCAAGGTCCTGCCTGCTGCCTGCGCTTTCCTCAGTTTCTCCGCCTTTTGTCCTTGGACCTAATATAAGTGGACTGATCCAGAGAATCCTTTGTCTTTACCCTCAGAGTCTGAGCTCAGCTAAAAGGTTTTGACCCTCCTGGAGCCCTAAAAAAAAAAAATCATACAATTTGTCTCTTTTTTTATTTAACCTCCGCCGTACACTCCTTTGGGAGATCAGGGATCTGGGTCAGGACCTGATACTAAACAAACTTTCAAACTTTTAAAAAAAAAAAGCTCTACTATAAAGCATTATGTTCCAGAAGCAACATACTCCAGTGGTTAGATGTATGCTTTAAAAAACAGAATTGTTTTATAAGACAGGAACCCCCAAAAAGTTAATAGTGGTTATCTTTAAAGGTTGACAACAGAAAGGTCCTTAATTATCTTAGGTTTTCTCTATTTTCCAAGTTTTTTGAAATGATCATCTGCTTTTCAAATCAAGATGAGAGCAGAGATATTAAACACTTACCAGTCCAATGACTGAAATGCAGGATGACCCAAAATTGCATATTTTTTCTTTTTTATAAGAAAATAGGAAATATAAAAATGACAATTTTATTCAATGACAAATTTATTCAATACAAGAGCTGACTGGTTGAAATGACAGCTGCCTGAGCAATGCTCGGGACACTCAGTATCAAACAAATGTGCTGTCCAAGTGATGCTGGGGGGAACTGTCACGGGCTTAGAACCCATCCAGTTCAGGCTGCCCAAGAAAATCAAAGTGCAGCTAATAACTGCCCCATGCTACAGAGGCCTGAGCGGGTACCCATGGGCACTTCCGGTCATCACCGCAAACAGGAAAACCAGGGTCAGTGACATGATGGGAGAGAGGATGAGCAAATGCACTCTGATCAGTGCAGTGCTAAATTCAGAGCCAGAAGGATACTGGAGTTGATCAAATGGGACCTGAACCGAGGAAACTGGGCAGCGAGGCTGAGTGTGGGTTCTGCAGGAAGAGCACTACGTATGGGTGGCAGGGATGGCAGCAGTCAGCGCAGAGCACGTAAAGCCGCCAAGCTGCATACTTGGAATGATTAGGATGGTAAACTCTGTGTGTGTCCTGCTGTAACTGAAAAGCAAGGGAAAAAATGTACTCTGAAATCCAACTCTCCGCAGTTACTATCTGTAACTTGAGTGGCCAGGGGCAAAACTCTAACCTTTCCCCCAAAATGGGTTATACTCTTTGAACACCTTAAATGGCTTGTCAAGATTAGATTAAGCAGTAAGACACTTAG